AGGGTTTCACCATGTTGGTCAGGCTAGTTAGAATTCCTGACCTCAGGTGATTCACCTGCCTCTGCCTGCCAAAGTGCTGGGATTACAGGTGTGAGCCACAGTGTCTGGCCCATTTTTTATTTTTTGAGACAGTGTCTTGCTCTGTTGCCAAGGCTGGAGTGCAGTGGCATGGTCTCAGCTCACTGCAACCTCCACCTCCTGAATTCAAGCAATTCTCCTGCCTCAGCCTCCTGAATAGCTGGGACTACAGGTGCACACCACCATGCCCAGCTAATTTTTGTGTTTTTAGTAGAGACAGGGTTTTGCTATGTTGGCCAGGTTGGTCTTAACTCCTGACCTCAAGTCATCCACCTGTCTTGGCCTCCCAAAGTGCTGAGATCACAGGCATAAGCCACTGCACCCAGTCATCTCCTGCAATGTTCTACCATGATTTTTAGCTTCCTTGCATTGGGTTATGACACACCCTTTTAGCTCAGCGAACTTCATTCCTATCCATATTCTGAATTCTACTTCTGTCATTTCAGCCATCTCAGCCTCAACCTGTTTCCTCACCCTTGCTGGATAGGTGATGTGGTCATTTGGAGGAAAGAAGGCATGCTAGCTTTTTGAGTTTTCAGCCTTCTTGCATTGATTACTTCTTGTCTTTGTGGGCTTATCTGCCTTCAGTCTTTTAGATTTCTGACTTTTGGATTTTTTTTCTTTTAACAGTCTGGCCACTTTTCTGTAGGCCTGCTGCAGTATGCTGGGGGCCCACTCCAGTCCCTATTCACCTCAGATTTTCCAGTACCTGCTGTCACCAGTGAAGGTTGTGAAACAGCAAAAGTGGAAGCCTGCTCCTTTATCAGAGAGCTCCATCCTAGGGAGGTACAAACCTGTTGCTGGCCCAAATGCACCTGTGGGAGGTGACTGGTGACCCTGGATGGGAGGTCCCTTCCATTCAGGAGGAACAGGATTGGGGACCTGCTTAAAAATGTAGTCTGGCCATGTTTTTGTTGAGCAGCTGTGCTGGGCTAGGGGCACACTTTAGCCCCTGGTCATCTCTGAAGGCTGAAGGCTGGAATGGCTGAGTCACCTGAACAGCAAAGATGGTGGCCTTCCTTTTGTCCTGGAAGCTCTGTCCCAGGGAGGCCTGAAACCTCTGTCAGACAGAGAACACTGGTGGGGGTAGCTGAAGACCCTGGTTGGGTGGCTCTACCTGGTGATAAAGAGCAAGTTTGGGGACTGACTTAAGAAAGCAGTCTGGCCATGTTTTCGGAGGCTGCTGTGCTGTGCTAGTGTACCACTTCTGCCCCTGGTAGCCTCAGACACACCAAAGCTTGAAGACTAGAACTGCTGAGATGTTCAACAACAAAGATGGTGGCCCACTCATCCCTTTGGGAGTTTTGTCCCAGGGAGTTTTCAAATCTTTCTTGGCCAGAGAACACCAGCAGGGGTTGCTGAAGGCCCAGTTGGGAGGTCCCCCACCATTGAGGAGGAACGGATTGGGGGAAAGAAACAGTCTGGCCATGTTTTGGTAGAGCAGCTGTGCTGTGCTGGGGGATCCCTTCTGCCCCTGGTCAGTTTGGACTCTCCAAAGCCCACAGGCTGGAATGGCTAAGTCACCCAAACAACAAAGATGGAAGCACGCCCTTCCCCGTGGGTGCTCCATCCCAGGTAGGCGCCACACTGCTACTGGTGACTGGCTGGAATTCCAAGCCAGTGGGTTTTATCCTGTGAAGTGCCATGGACATGGAACCTGCAGACCTTCCCTGCTCAGCCCCCTGGTTTCAGCCTCTTTCCTAGGGGTAGTAGGAGTTCTAATCTCCTACTTTGCTGGAGTTGCAGTTACTTTTGCTGGGAAGCCCAGAGCCAGAGTATTTAAAGCTCCCTGGTCTCCACATGTGTCTGAATGGCTGCTCTTTCAAGACTCTGCATAGCTCTGTGTGTCAGACTGAAGGTCTTGGTGGAGTGGGTTCATGAGGGGATCTTCTGATCCAAGGGTTGCAAAGATCAGTGGGAGAGGCATGGGATTCTGGGGCTGTACATTTACTCACTGCTTTCCTAGGAGGGGGAGCTTCCCTTGGCTTCGTGTCGCTCCTGGGTGGGCCATCATCCCACTTTGCTTTTCTTGACCTTTGTGGGTCAAGTTGTTTCCTTGATTAGTCTCAATGCAAGTACCTGGATATTTCAGTTGAAGGTGCTGTATTTACTCACCCCTTCCATTCCTATCCATGAGAACCATCCACCCTAGCTGCTTCTAATTGGCCATCTTGGCCACTCCACCTCTCATTTGTCTAACTCACTATTGAGATCTTTAAGTAAACTTTTGTTGAAGTATATCGTATATACAGAAAATTGCACAAGTGATCAGCTCAGTACATTATCACAAAGGGAGCAAGAAATAAACATGAACCACACACTGGAAGCTCCCTCTAAGCCCACATCTACTCACTAATGCATCCCAAGGGTAACCACTATTCTGACTTGTAAAAATATAGATCGTTTTGAATTTTAAAAAAACTTTAGGTAAGCAGAATCATACAGTATATATTATTTTGTGTCTATTTTTTTGCTAACGTTGTCTGTGAGAATAATCCATACTGTTGCATGTAGAGTATTCATTGCCATTTATGTATGTACTGTATTATATGCATCCATTCTGTTGATGATGGATATTTAGATTGTTTCCAACTTGGGACTATTATGAATAGTGCTGCTATGAGCATTCTTATACATGTAGTTTGGTAAATATATGCATGCATTTCTCTTGGGTGTAATGTCATAAATTGTGCATATTTTTACTCTGAAAACAAAATTAGGGGGTAGAGCCTGGAGTATAGTGAACTCAGCAAGGCAAATGCTATCTTATGGGGCTCTGTTGGGAAAACTAGGTAGTCTTGTCCAAGAGACAGCTCTGTTAATTTCCATGTCCCACTGACCTTAACACTTGACATTTCAGCTAGAGTGGGTATTGCCTTAAATACTATTCTCTGAAATAACCAGTGGTGTCATTCTAGCAAGTATCACTCCAGAAAACTCCTTATACATACAAAGGCGTAAAAGTATTTTTAAAAGGTCATTATTTCCAAGAAGAGTGAGCAGAGGCAAGAAAAATATAATTAAAAATATTTAGTTCTCCATTCTTGTTTTATGAAATCTGCTTTTTCATGGATCTAAGCAAGATGATAGATATTAGTTGCTGAGGGGAGGGGAAGTAAAGAGATGGGCTATTGCCCAGTATTCTAGGATGAAGATAAAGAATTATAAATACAAAGAGACAGTCGCTCCAGGAGAAGATAAGAAAGTATCAGAATAAGTTTTGCCTCTGGAAATCAGAGAAAAACAAATTCCCACAAAAGGGTAATGCATTTTCTTTTGGATTCCAGGATTGGCGAAGAAAAAAATGAGTGACAGGTCTGGTGTGCTGGGGGGAAGAGAGAGAGGGAGGCACACTCTTGCATCACTACTGGTGACAACCATGGCTCATTAGTGACATATATCTCAGGTGACCAAGATCTGTGGTAAAGTCAAGTCTTTTTGATCCAGCCATCAGCTCTCTGCTGTTGACCTCAGAGAGGCATCTTTGTAGATGAGTGAAGAAAGAAGAAACTGCTCTGGTTATGTGCAGGTTGGTGTGAGAATGAGGATTGCCTAGGAAGTCTTAGGGTCAGGATTGGGACAGAGTCATCTTCCCCTATACTCTCGCCCCACCCACCAGCTTATTTTAGTTCTCTAAATGGTGCATAGGATTAGGGGGAGAGCTGGTGTTGGGGAGCTGAGAGTGAGAGATGAGAAATGTTTGACAGATAGAGTCCAGAATCAGTAAAAGGTAGGAACTGTGGCCTATCACCCAGTGCTGTGTTCGCCGACCCTACTGATAGATACTGGTTTGTTTGTCTGTCTGTAGGGGGCAGTGCAACCCAAGAAAAAGGAAGAAGAAAATTACAGGTTATTTGGTAGAGACTGAAGCAAGAGTGTATTCCTTCAAGGAAATGTGGAGCTAGAACCAGTCACAAGAGGGTGGTACACACAAGTGCTAAACTGGAACTTGCCCTTCTACTCCTGTCTTGTTTTCAGAAAACCCTTAATCCCAATCCTTTATGGCTCTGGGAAAGCAGTGTCAAAATCTATAGGGCAGAAAGGGGAGTGAGGTGAGGTACAGCAGAAAAGTGGGCATTCATGGGAGAAGGGCAAGGGATAAAGTGGCAGGAAGCCAGGGTGGGGAAGATGGGTGTGCCTGAGACCTAAATGGGAGACTTTGGAAAGTTACATTCCTCACTCTGGAGTGGATGCACCTGAAACTTTGAGTGCATTTGCCAATCTCTATTCTCTTTTCTCTGTCTAGCTGTAGACAGTAATCTAAGTAAGGGAGGAAAGAAATTGCCCCACACAGTGTGATATGCTGGAGATAAGGGGTAGAAACGAGGTGTCTGAGGCAGACTACAGAGTCCAGAGGCAATTTAGCTTCTCCCTCTCACAGCCTTTGTTCTTTTCTCCTCTTACATTGGTGCTGGAAAAAGATAAATGCTGCACCTCTGAGCTTGAGGGAGGTAAAACCCCAGAGGAGGAATATTTGAAAATTAAGACCTTAAATCCGCAAATAGAGATACTGATACCCTTGTAACCTGTGCGTTGACATGTCTCTTTGGGGAGACTCATCTAAAAGCTCTATGTGTTTGCATGGCTGCTAGGTCCATGTTGGATGGCAATTAGATTGATTGTGTCCAGGAAAAGAATGTGTAACAATCTCCTTCCTAAAATGCCACAACTAGATCACCTTTTAAAGAGTGAGGCCCATCTGTGACTTGCATTAGATGTGGGGTATATACTGACTGACGAATATGTGAAAGATGATACGGAAATCTGGTCTAGAAGTTGACACACTGTTCATCCACTTATCAGAAGGAGGCACATCCAAACAAGAAAAGACAAAAATAGCGGGGGAGCTGCAGACAGTGGGGAAGAAAGGTAAGGCCCATGATCTGCAGTCAAGAGTTGAGGATGAGCCAAGCCCTGGGGATTAATCTGACAAAATCATGGGCAGTAAGAACTCACAGCCTCTCCAAAAGCAAACCATACAAATAAAAATGAATCACCTATTCCCCAATGAAAATTTTAAAAATGCTGGATATGCTCAAAACTTTAAAAAAGGTAGTTGTGTTCTGGACCTCTCCAAGTGTCTTTTCATTCAGGGAAAACTGTTGTTTGCTGAGCCCAAGGATGCGGGCTTTCCATTTAGCCAGGCTATCAATAGCCATTTGGCCAGTCTCTCAATGGTTAGAAACACGGGCCCCACACCAGACCCCACTGTTAGAGAGGCTTTGTGTGCCACGGATAACTTAAATGCCAGCATTGAAAGTGAGGGCCAGATTAAGATGTACATCAATGAAGTGTGTCAGGAGACTGTGTCACGTTGCAGCAACTCATTTCTGCAGCAGGCCGGATTAAATTTGTTAATAAGCATGACAGTTATTAATAACATGCTTGCCAAGTCCGTTTCAGACTTGAAGTTTCCTTTGATATCAGAGGGAAGTGGATATGCTAAGGTTCAGGTTTTGAAACCACTGATGGGTTTGTCTGAAAAGCCAGTCTTGGCGGGGGAGTTAGTCGGTGCCCAGATGCTCTTCTCATTCATGTCCCTCTTTATCAGAAAAGGAAACAGAGAGATTCTCCCGGAAACCCCTGCCCCATAAACGGCCCTCTGGAACACAATGGGACGGAATCCACCCACAACGCGCTTGGTTTGCAGATGTCAAAGAATCTGCAGAGGGTGCTACTGAAGATCCAGCCTTAGCCAATCACCACCTCATTGGGTGAAAGTTCCAGGGCTCAATCCAGGACCACACTCTTATTGGCCAGGCAGGGGCTCCCACAGAGCTTTGAGTAACTTGTTGGTTGTGCAGTCTGCAGGCAATGTTGGCACTGTAAATTCCTCCCTTGCAGCCTCCTTCATGTGGTGAGGGGATCACTTCAGCTGCCTGCTGTGGACAAAGAACATCAAATTACAGCTATTGTTGCCTGTGGTGGTCTCCCTGTCCAAGCAGGACCGCTTTGCAGAGACCAGACGCATATCGCAGCTTGAGCTGAAAATGCATTTGTTGCAGCTTAGGTTGAATTATTTTTCGTTTACTCTTTCTTCTACACGCGCCTGATGGATAGTGAACCTATTCATCAAAAAAGTGCACTGCTCTTCTGTCTATTGTACCGACTTAACCTCTTCCACCCAAGTCCGCATCTGTGTGTATCATCAATAAAGTTGTGTGCTTTGATTGGCAGAAAAGAGTCATAGTCCTTGTCCTTGAGTTTACAGTCTGCACTGAGAGAAGGACAAAAAAAGCACGATAAACGCCAGCTGACTGGGACTTCTGTTCCCTGACAAATGCCGGCTTATCTGTGCTCACAGGAGGCAGGGATAGAGAGGGGCTGCAGTGCTCAGAATAAACTTCAAGAAGGGGCTGGGGGCGGGGGTGGGAGGAAGGGAGGGGCACAGCGGGGGAGTTCGTGGAATTAGGATGGAATGTTGAGAGGACTGAAAGAGACAACACCCGTGGAGCAGGCAGCACCGTGCCCGGCACAGAGAAATCTCTTCTTAATGTCTTTTCCTTGACTGCCAGGCTGGAAAGAAAGGTCAGTAACCCCGGCCTTTTCGTTTGTCTGCGCATCCCGACGTGGGGATGGGGACCGGGGTGGAGCGGGTGGGGGAGCTCTACCACGCATCGGGGCGCATTTATTGCACAAAGGTTGCCGCTTGCCCAGCACCTACCCTGTGTAGTTCTGTCCCTCCTGCGAAGCCACGGGGAAATCTGCTTCCAGCCCTCCTTCTCTCTGCCTTGGGATCCCCGGCGCTACTTCCTGACAGAGTGAGAGGGTTGGCCGCTGCTCCCTTTGGAGCAACCTCCTTTCTTCCATATCCCCACTACCTTTGGTGGGACCCTGGAAGGGGACAGTGGAGCCTGCCATCAACTACCCGCGGGGGTGATAGGGCAAATGCTGAGGGCACTTGGCACGACCGAGGTCACTCCATCCATCCGGAGACACCTCCACACTCTCCATCTGAGGTCCCTGCACTTTGCCAGGAAAGGAAGAGCCCGTGGGCACAGAAGCACTCCATGGGTCAGGGCAGCTCGTTCTGCCCCTGACCCGCCCCCACCTCCAACATTACCAGATCCTGCCCAGCAGGTTTAGCCCCTGAATCAGCAAAGCCAGGTTCCCTGCATGTTTGTGTTGTGTGTGTCAAGAAGTGGTCCCCTTCCCTAAAGCCATGGCAAACCCAGTAAACACATCTGCTTCCTTTGGGCAAGGCTGCTGCCGTGCCGGTACCCTCTCGGTCTCCCAGGGCTGCTGCTGTGGGTCACTGTGTCCTGGGCGGCCGCCATCTCTATGGTGCTGGGCATTCGGCTTGTTCTCTTCCACACAGAACAAAGCTTTCTTTTCTTGTCTTATTCTCCCTTCCCCGCGCAGCTTGGGTTCCAGGTGGGTTACAGCTTTCCTGCTTGTACCATCTGCCCCACAGTCCGTGCTGGCCAGAGGGCCTGAGTGCCTGCCAGGTCCCCTGACCAACTCTGGGAAACCCTCCCACCTGGAATGGGGACCAGGCCTCTTCCCAGGCCCTGGTGTCTGGGATGGCCAACAAACGACTTGCAGTTATTGTGACACCACACCCCCCATCAAGGCTCACACTGCTGGGGCTTCCTTGGCTGGCTCTGGGAGCCCTGTCTCAGTTCCTAAGGGTTCCTAAGAGCTGTCAGAAGGACCACCCTTTCTCCCAAGCCATCCACAGTTTCGCCGGGCAATCTGATTTCAAAGGGGATTTCCCTGCAGACAGCTCCGCAACCACTTTTCCCAGTGGAGCCTGCTTCACCAACGCTGTCTTCAGTGACACCTCATTGCTCAGTCTCTTTGAGCACAAAGGCATCCTCCTAGCCTGTGGTCCGGAATTACCATGCACGTCCCTACTTCCCTGCATGCTACCAAATTTCCCTTTGCGTGCACTTGTCCACCATCTCTGAGGCACTTGACACAGTGAGGCCGCAGCTGAGTCCTAACTCAGGGAGCGCCCCAGAGGCTTTCTGCCCATCTCCTGAGCAAACTCTGTTACAGAAAAGCCCATCAGCGTCCAAGCGTCTCCACGGCATTGTCTTGGCCCAAGTCAAAACCCTCCTGTCCATTTGCTGGCACTGCCCTCCCAAAAGCACTCACGCACAGCCCTTCTGTCCTGCCCCCTCATCCCCTGACTGGTTGCAGTGCCTGGGTACGAGCCCAGTTCCCGTGGATTCTGCCTCCCTGGGATGCGCAGGGGAGTCAGGAGCATGCCTGCCTCCCAGGGCCTGATCAAGACACTGAGAGGTTCTCAGCACTGGCAAGAGCACCGGTGCCCCCATTCCATATGTAACGCAAACATAAAAACAGCCCCGAGCCATCAATCACAATACATACCTGCCTGCTGCAACCAAAAGACAGTCTTTCTGGGCTTCCCCGTGGCAAACATTGGGAAAGGTCATCAATCCTGAGCTTGCCACATTCTGTGGGGAGTGCTCTGCCTTGATGGTGCCACCCCAGCCTGAGCCTGTCTCTTGTGTCAATCTGGAACTGCCGCCACGGGCTGTCTTCCATCTCCCGAAAGGGCCCCCTGGGTTTTGCTTCTCATCTATCTCATGAGCTCGTTTCCATTTGGTGCCTGTAGGCACTGACTGACTTCCAGACCAACTTCAGGTGGCCTCCCCAGCCTGCGGCCTCTCCTAGGGATTTTGTGGTTTGCCACCCCCACCCCGCCCCGCTCCAGGTGAGTGCACACAAGGTTGCAGACATCCAGCTTCCCGGCAGGCGCGTCCTGTCTCAGACACTGGATCCTCACCGGGGTACTGTGCCACTCTCAAAGCAGTGTCCACCACAATCCCCTTACTTTTAAGTGCCACCCTGAACCAACATAGCCCTCACCCAGTCTGTCCCTCTGACGATGCACCACTTGGCAAAGAGTTGGGTGGCTGTGGCGAGGGGTTGCTCTTGCCTCTCTTCTGAGGGACACTGGCTGCTCTATGATGCAGATGGGCACTACACCAGAGTCCAGCAGAGTGCTGCAGAGGGCCGGCCTTTGCGCCATCTGTTACAAATGCCAGATGTGTCTTCTCACTGGCTGCCACTTCCCTACTCTCTGTGATCATGGCCTCCTTTCCATCCTGGAGGTCCATTTTCCCTTACTGCCTCTTGTTTTGGTGTGAAGTTTAGGACAGGCTTTCCCACTTTCCCATGAACACAGTCTCCTTGGCAGTTTTCTCGTTCTTTCACACCTTTCTATTCAGAGTTTTGTCTCATCGATCTGTCTGGAATTTACTTTTGTGCAAGGTGAGAGACAGTGATGTGACTTGACTTCTTTTCCCTCATGATTAGCCGATGAGCCCAGCACCACTGGTTGAGCACTCCGTTCTAGTGCTGTCTGTGGCACGTTCTGGGATCCTCATGTGCCCAGCTGCGCACCCACTCTGTGGTTTCCAAGCATTAAAGTTTCTCCTGAGGCACATCCCTTTCCCTCAGGAACCTCTTATTGACTTGGAGTCTCTCAGCTCACTAGGTGGCCTAAGGCAGGTGGTGTGTGTGTGTGTGTGTGTGTGTGTGTGTGTGTGTTAGTGGGGAGAGCTGTGTTGGTGCTTGTGAGCAGGCCTCTGCTCCAGGTATGTTCTCAGGACATATTCTGGCCCACAGGAAGCTTAGGAACTCTCATCCTGCGGACCTTTGCACCATGGCAAACTGGGCACTGGTCTCTCTCCTCTCCCAAATTACTATATCTGTACAAGAAAAGTTTCAGAACAGTGTACTGTGTATATAATTGTAAATATTGTATATCCTGTAACACTATATACTGTTTTATGTAATTATACTTTTCCCTAAATATGAGTGTAGATATCTCTGGAATGATGCACAAAGAAATGATTGCTGAGTTTTTTTTTTTTTTTCTCCTGGCATGTATTACATATTTAGATCTGCAAGGGAGAAGATCCATAACTCATTTAATTGTCTTTTCTGTCCTTTGTGCCTCTTGAATTTTGTACTTATTTATCCATGTCCCATTGGTAAATAAATTTACTAAAAGACAATTATTGCAGGTTTCTGTAAAAGTTGTTGATGTAGCATTATCATTCTACAGTCAGACTCTTTTGGTGAACTCTCTTATTAATTTTATTACATTGTCTCTTTTTTTGCTTTCTGACTTCTTAAGTAGATAAATGTACTGTACAAATTTTGACAGTTTTATCTCTTCCTATTCAATAGTTTTAGTTTCATTTCTTTTACTTATCTCATTGCATTGTCAGGGGACCTCCAGAAAAACAGTAGTGATGATACAGCACATGTTTGTCTTGTTTCTGATTTTAATGGTCGATGTTTCAGTGTAAGGTTGGTGTTTGCTGGAGGTTTCTGAATAAATAGTATGTCATGTATTTATATAATGGGATTTATAAAGCATTAAAAATGAGTGAATGGCTTCAAGCGCGGTGCTCACGCCTGTAATCCTAGCACTTAGGGAGGCTGAGGTGGGCGGATCACCTGAGGTCAGGAGATTGAGACCAGCCAACCAACATGGAGAAAATCCCATCTCTACTAAAAATATAGAATTAGCCGGGTGTGGTGGTGCATGCCTGTAATCTCATCTACTCCGGAGGCTGAGGCAGGAGAATCACTTGAATCCAGGAAGCAGAGGAGTTGCAGTGAGAGCCCAAGATCGCGCCATTGCACTGCAGCCTGGGCAACAAGGCAAAACTCCATCTCAAAAAAAAAAAAAAAAAAAAAAAAAAAAGAAAGAGTGAACTAGATCTCTATGTATCCCAGGCTTGACAGATTTTTCACAAACCTAATGTTGAATGAAATAATCAATTTGCAGAAAGACTTTTGTATAATACCATTTATATAATTTAAACATATGAAACTATGTGTTATATTGGTACATATATTTATAGCATGAAGTATTTAAAATGGACACTGACAGATGTACATCAGTTTTGCAATATCAATTGCCTCTGGGAATGGCTGGAGGAAAATGTGACTCCAACAATATATACAATTTAATTTTATCTATTAAGAAAAAGATTATAAACAAATATAAAGAAAACATTAACATTGCTAATTATGGATGATGTATACATAGATCCTCATTTGTTTTTCTCTATATATCTTTTTTTAAATTAAAACTAAAGATGTATTGTGTACTAATACAATTAATTTAAAAATTCCATCACCTAGACATATTCTCAAGAAATTTTAGGATAATAAGGACTGAAAGGAGACCCTAA